TTTTTTTTTTTTTTTTTTCTTTTCCCTAAGTCATAATTTAAGACATTCTAGCATGTCTATTCCTAACTGTTTGTGAACAGTCAGGTTACAGACTGAGAGCCTTTATTTAGATGATTGAATAAACAACTAGATTTTACAGTACTAAATGGGAATGAGACACGAAGAGTGTGGAGGTTTTTCATGTAATATTACAGCATATCATTAGGAAGTTCTTCATGATCTCTTGTTTTTTCCCTATAAGAGAGATTCTGCATCCCCTGTGGTACTGCAGCCATTTTTAGTGAGAAGATGAGCCAGACAAGCTTAACAGACTCTGACAAAGAGAGGAAAAATAAAATGTCCACTACTCAGTTAAAATCATGGGCTGGCAGATGGTGATTGCTCACGATTTTTTTTTTCAGGTCAGCCCAGCACAGCACTGCTCTACATTCAGAGAGAGCAGAACATTTTAATGGAAATTTCCTAAGCAGAGGATACAAATTCTCTCATTTACCACGATTGTGAGGAATAGCACAACCACAGGAACACTACAATTGTGCACAAGAACAGGTTGTGTAGAGCCAACCTCATACAATTAACATGGGAGCACACTGTCCAGTTATTATTTTTCTATTCACTTACCCAATAAAGAGCTCCTCATTTACCCTCAAGGGCAAAGTAAGGATAATGAGGATAATGATATTGATGCCTCTTTGAGACCTGCCAAAGAAAAGCATTGCAGAATTATGCGTGTTATTTACATCCACAGCCTTCTCTGAGGACTCCTCCAACCCATATCTCAACATTACTTAAGTAATGCATGGCAAACTGACTCTTGGAAATGAGATGAAACAAATGAAAAAGATGCAACGTAACAAAAGGCTATCAACAAAAAAATTAGAGCAGCAACAGTGACAGTCAGACACCTAGGTTTGTTTAGTGTTCAGATGGAAATGAATTTGCCTGTAAAGTCCACTACATACTCACATAAGTGGAGCACATGGCAAGCCTCTTTAAATAGCTAAGTGTGGTTCCAAAGCAGCTTAGCAAGCAGAAGAGACATAACCACTTCACTGCAATTAAATGTTAAGGGAAGGTAAAATTGATGCTCTATCTATTTTTCCCTACATGAACTGACCTAAACTTCTTCAAACCTGGCATTTAAAGGAGCCATCTTTTCACTTAGTGTTCCTTCTTGTTTCTCAGCGTCTGCAAGTGTTTTGTACTCAACAAATCTCTTTTTGCCCTCATTTCCTTTCTCAAATGCTGAGACTAGACATTCCTGCCTGATCCAGACACCCTGTAGATGTCACATGTTGAGCTTTTCCGCAAGTAAAGCTGACAGGGAATGTGTTAAAGAAAGGGGGGAAGAAGGCTCTGCTTGGCCTTCATTTGCGGCTTAACAAGTTGGTGTCAACAGGCATTGAGAGACCACTTCAATAACTTCATACTACACCTACAGGAACACAAAAGCTCTATGGTTGTAAGTAGAATCTTCAGACTTTACACCTTGCTTCCATACCTTCTTCCATATGCTTCCCTTCCACAGCTCCTTCAGTGCTGCATCCTGATTCTTCTTTATTTGTTTACGTATGCATTTGGAGAGAATGTGAGATCTTTGCCAACTCTGAGGTATCAACAAGCCAGGAAGATAGACTTGCTATCACTGCTCACAGATAATAGCAGCTGAGCTTGCACAGCACTTCTGTAGTGTTGCCAGGGGATTCCTTGTGCCTGGGGGCCTAGCACTTGCTTCTCCAAAGTGACAGGATTAAGATGCTTATTTCTCAGCCAGGTTGGCTCCAGTTCTTTCCCAGGAGTGCCTCACCTACACTCATGCAGCATTTTTGCATGCAGACACCACAGAGTGTTCAGATAAGTAATGTAACAGCAGCACCTGTCAGCTTGAATTTGGAGATAATGCACAACAGCCTTTCCCTAGTGTTTGGCAGAGTGTCTGGCTCTGTTCCACCTTAAGTCTCCACAGGCATATAACACCATTCTGCTTCATTAATTGCTGGGAGCTTAAGCTTATAGCTATCACAGACTGCCTCACTATCACCAAAAGACTTTGGCAGGTAACAATGAAGACATTCAATTCATACTTCTCTGAGGAAGACCAAGAGCTAAGGAGGGAAAAACAACAACTCTCTTATTCGAGAGGATTAATTATGCCTAAGCTTTCTATACTACTGAGACAGGATTATGAAAGTGTGATGAAGAATGACAGATCAACAAGAAATTTATCCATACTAATGAGCCTACAGTTGGATTGGTTGTAGGGAAATTCTAATTGATTCAGAAAAGAATTATTATTCTTACCATTTCCCACTGGGTTCAAAAAGATAGTGAATTGAAAAATCCTCCAATGCCTAGAATTTTGCTCTACCTAAACAAAAAATACACTACATACAAAGTCATATCTTTGAGTTGAATGCACCTCTGAGCAGAACTGTGATCATGTGAATAGACATAATCTCAACATGACTGTTACATTCTCACCCTCTCAGGTGAGCATTCCTTCATTGGGGTTTAATTAAAACATGTCACATTTTTCCTTAAGGCCCTCCCTACTCTGGCCTCAGTAGGGGCTGAGCAAATCCTTATTGCTGAGCATTGAAGAAAACTCTTCTCATCATGCTCTGAAATTGCAGCTGTCAAACTGACCTGTCCGGTTTCTGCAGGAGCACATTTTGTTATAACAATTGCTATACTCCTACAAATATATATGTAAGCACACTACTTAGTCCTAGAAATACTGTTAGATGACCACATGATATAACATGTCATAACTTTGGCTGACAAATAGCAGGTAGAAGACAGTTCTGGAAAATCTCTATCTTCCGTGGGAATGACAGTCTCTGATTAGTGCTTAACTCTACACTGTGCACACAGAGCAATTCCCCTGCAAGTGGTATCCATCACACTAGACATCAACATTGAGCAGAACAGAAGTACTTATGTGAGGATCAGCCTGTGTCTTGGAGGCTTCCCACCTTACACAGAATCCCTGTATTTAGGGAGAATCTGATTCTTGTATATGACAGGTGCCATGTGACTCTGGTATGCTATTGTGCCAAGTGGAAGCTGTAATCCTAACAAGCATGTGGCTAACCAGCTGCCATCCTGTGGCAGGAGATGCATAGGAATAATGAGTTACAAATGATAGTGCGGCTGGTTTTGAAAGTAAAGGGCCAGGCAGCACTGGGAAACTAACAGTTTTGCAGGCTGACTGCAAAGTACAGTTCACCTTCCAAGGTGCAGTGAACATACTCCATATGTGCCCTATCAATGTGCCACAAGATGAGCTCTTGTGAAAGACTAAGGAAGAAGTTGAATGGCCATGGCACTTCATTAAGACACACATCTGTCTGTGAGGGAATTTCCTCACTAGCTCCCCACTCCTGATCCCCTGCTGTGGTCAGTCTTGCTGCAGAAATGTCATTTTTAGGAAGGAAATACACTACTAAATGCCTCCATGAGTTCCTACATTCAGAGTGGTCCCTGTTTGCTACTAGTGTCCAAGAAAGCAGAGAAATTAAACCCGTTTATATAGAGTACAAAATATCTTTCAAAGGAACATGAGATGGGGCAGAGTGGAGGATGAGGATATTCAAGAGAACAAGGTTACTTCTATCATCAGAGTCATGCATGTTTTCTGTGGACACATAATCCAAAATTAAACAGTGACAAACTCCAGCCTCAGCTAGCAATGCTTTCTCTACCATGTCCCCAGAGATCAGATCTGTCAACCCATTTTGTAATTACCCCCCAAGTTTATCATTAAATTCAGGCTTAACTGAAAGCACAGGCTGCTTTCTAATAGAACCACGTGTAAAACAGTAACAGATGAACAAATAGACTCTTTTTCTTTAATGTCTGCCTTAGATCTCTCAGACATAAAAGCCCCATGGTTGAGAGCCAGTGTTTGCTCATGGTGAGAGCTCTGGGCAAAACACAGCAGCCAACCATTTCAACTCTGTTTTAAAAGAGTAATAAGTGAGCTCTCTCAAATCCTCTAATTCAATAACCATAACCAAGCACTAATATTTTAATAGCAGTCACTACAGAAAAGAGTCCAGTGGGACCACAACATCCAAGGCAGGCATTTCTTCAAAGTGTAGCTCATCAGGACTAAAATAAACAATTATTTCTTACGTTAGGTGAAAGTGGGGGTAAAAAACAGAAATCAACAAACCAGATCTGCTTTTAATAATAATCACAGTTTTGTAGTTAAAATCCTGTAGGCATGCATGCTTTTGTCACTGTCAGATGACTACATGAAACTAACAATTATGGCTGATAAGAGCAGTGGAGGAACTAATCTTGCAGCAATAAACACAGCCTTCAAAACCAACCTCCCTTAGTTACAACCAGACTGCCTGAATGCTGGAGGGCTAATGAGAAGCTGCATATGACAGCAATTGTCCGAACTGGCTACAAGTGAGTATGACCTATGAAAATTGCTCAGCAAGTCCAGAAAGCATATGAAGTTTCTGGAAGAAAAAGCTACTGTTAGATGTGCAGTTAAATAAACTCAGATACATACAAGCATGCACTCACAGTCTAATGCAAGACACAATATCAAAGCCTGCAAAAAGTTCAGAAAGTTACCTCATAAACGCGGTGCTCCTGGCTAGCAAATGTCTCCTTTCACAGTAGCAAACTTGAGATGAGAGCTTATTTTTTCAACATTTTCTTGGCATTGAAACTTTGCTGGCAAAAAATCTTGTTTCGAATAAGGCAAAGATTCAGCATTTGTCTCTCACTTGGCAGTAAAATTCCCCACATCTGAGAATACTACATGATTGTGAACTAAACAAAGTGGGTGAGCACCAAAGTGAAAGAGGAACTTTCACTTTGAAAGTGAAGAGAAGAGCTCTTCATCATGTCATGAGGAACTGACTCATTCCAGTGGTGTCAAATTGGATCCCAGAGGAATTCTGGAACGTCACTTGGAATGAAACCAGTAGATTGAGTCTCCAAACTGGGAGCTAGAGGAGCTCTCTTCTGGTGCCTCTTTTTGCTGCCTTCCACCTGTAAGTTGAGTTCACAGCAATGTTTTGTATAGAGCCAGCAGCAGAAGTTTCAGCTGATGCTCCCAGAATATAAATTGTAATATAGATGTGTATTTATGTTGAAGAAACAAATTGCTAAAACACGGGTGAACTTGATTTATAAATTATATAAAACCAGTAGAATATGGGGAGTTTAACTCTTATGCCAAGGATTAAAGAGTCTTTTTGCAAGAAAAAAAAAACAACAACAAACATCTGAAAACTCTAAGGAGTTTTCCTTTTGCAAGAACTATCAGAAGGAGTCTGTTTATAGATTTTTGTCTTGTATCTGAATATTACATTAATTACAAATGCAAAATAAATGAAGATTTCAAACTTTTAGAGCTCGTAAAATATTCAAAAACATGCGTCAAGATCTAGAGAAATATTCTTCTCTTATCTCTTTATGTTACATGCTGTAAGACAGAATTTGTTAAAAAAGAGAAGAGAATGAAATTTAGGTCTTTAATCCATAGAACTAAGAAAATACGTGTTCAAAAGTAGAGCTTTTGAAAAACTTCAGTGAAAAACTTCATTGTTTAATCTCAGTCAACATTGCATTTTGACTATGTTGTGCATTAAAATGTGATGCATAGAGAAATGATAATGCTCTCGAAATTTCTATTACAATAAAAGACCAAAATGAAAGTTTTATACAGCTGAAGAGCAGAACAGCAAAGACAGAGTCATGAGTTAATAGGCTGCAGAGTCTTGGGGATGGGAAAGCAGTGGTGAAAAAGCTGTTGGATTCCTAGAGGTGCAGAATGCATATAGATAGAAAATAACTTACTCCTAGTAGCCCATTTCTACTAAATTTTTATACTAAATATTAATTTTAGGAGTGTGAAATAATTTACAAAAAAAAAGGGAAAAAAAGAGTTTACCACCTTTGGAAGAAAGGGCAGGTAACTCAGGAAGAGTATGAGGATTTTGCTAGGATGTGCAGAGCGAAAATCAGAAAGGCAAAAACCCAGCAAGAACTCAATCTGGCCACCACCCTAAAAATAGCAATATGCACTTCTACAAATACATTAACAACAAAAGGAGGGCAAAGGAGAATATTGATCCTTTACTGAATGCAGTGGGGAACATTACTGGCAAGGAAAAAGAAAAGGCTTTTTTGCTTCCTTCTATGTGTTATAGTCAGAACAGCTTTCCCAGAGTGCTCAGGTCCCTGAGCTGAAAGTCTGGGACGGAGATCAGAATAAACCCCCATCTACATCACAGGGAAGCAGACTGCAACCCCACCTGGTCTGTCACAAGTGCATGGGATCAGGGAGAATCCACCTGAAGGTACTGTGGGAGATGGGCAATTGGTTGCTAAACCACTTCCTATCATTTACCAGCTGTCCTGGTCGACTGTGGAGGTAAGAGATGACTGGGGGCTTGTCAATATGATACCCATCTACAAAAAGAGTTGGAAGGAGGACCTGGGAAACTACAGGCCTGTCAGTGTGACTGCAATATTGAGGAAGGCAGTGGAGCAGATAATCCTGAGCTTGATTACACAGCACATGCAGCACAGCCAGGGGATCAGGACCAGCCAGCACAGGCTCATGAAAGGCAGGCCCTGCTGGACCAACCCAATCTCATTCTGTAACCAGATGATCCACCTCATGAATGAGGGAAATGTAGTGGATGTAGTGTCTAGATTTTAGTTAATCCTTTGATGCTTTCTCCCCCAATATTTTCCTGGAGAAGCTGCCAGCTCATGGCTGAGAATGGTGTGTTATCTACTTGGTTAAAAAAGGGGCTGGATGGCCAGGCCCAGAGAGCACTGTTGATAGGAGTTAAATCCAGCTGGTGCCTGGTCACTGGTGGTGTTCCCCAAGGGTCAGTACTGGGGCCCTTCTTTTTTAGTATCTTTATTGATTATTTCAATGAAGGGATTGAGTGCACCTCCAGTAAGTTTGTAGATGACATCAACTCGGAAAGAAGTGTCAATCTCCTTGATGGTATGAAGGCCCTACAGAGGGATCTGGACAGGCTGGATTGATGCGCTGGGGTCAGCTGTATGAGCTACAACAAGACCAAGTACTGGGTCCTGCACTTTGGTCACAGCAACCCCATGCAACACTAGAGGCTTGGGGCAGAGGTGCTGGAGAGCTGCAAGGAGGAAGAGTAGCTGCGGGTGTTGGCCTACAGCCATCTGAACATGAGCCAGCAGTGACCGTGGGTAGCCAAGAAGGCCAATGGCATCCTAACTTGTATCAGAAATAGTGTAGCCAGTAGGATCACTGAAGTGACCATCCCTCTGTACTTTGTCCTGGTGAGGCCATACCTCAAGGACTGTGTTTAGTTTGGAATCTCTGACTACACTGAGGCACTCAGGTGTGTCCAAAGAAAGGCAATGAAGCTGTTGAAAGGTCTGGAATGTAAGTCTTACAAGGAGTGGCTGAGGGAGCTGGGATTGTTCAGTCTGAAGAAGAGAGGCCCAGGGGAGACCTTATTGATTTCTACAAATCCCTGAAAGGATGTTGTGGTGAGGTGGGACTTGGCCTCTTCTCCCATTTGAGGGAGAAAGAGTGGTCAGGCATTGGCACAGGCTTCCAGGGACTTGGCAGAGTCACCATCCCTGGAGGTGTTCAAGAAGCATTTAGATGTGACACTGAATGACATGGCTAATGGACACGGTGGGGATGCGATGATGGTTGGACTTGAAGATTTCAGAAGTCTCTTCCAATCTTAATGACTGTGTGATACAAAGCAGCAGGGACTAAGCCATTCTGTTCCAGCTCATATTTGTGCTCAATTCTCATCCTACAGCAGGAAGAAGGAGTAGTTCTTGTAAGGCAGACCAACATAGAATGCTACAAAAGTGAGACCAGCATTCTTTGCAAGCTAATCTATCGTATCTAATGCTTTCTTAGGCTAAAATGAATCACTACTGACTTAGCATATAGAAACTAATTCAGACTAGAGCATTTACCTCCTAGAAACCTGTGGTTTTCACACAGAAAGGTAGCATCAATCCTCTGTTACTCAAAAAACTAAAGCTTTAAATTGCAACTTACAGGATTTTGTTTTGGCAAAGATTAGAACATTTTCTGTTGGCTATGAGTTATCCCTAGAGGAGCTTTTTTTCTAATAGTTATTCTTAGGAAGGGGTTAACATTTTTTGACATCATTTAATTGTGTAATGGTTGAAAGTCACTTCATATCACTTAGTAAAGATGCTGGTTTAATCTTTTTTCTTTTTAAATTAAATTTCCTTCAGTGATGTATTTGCATTATTAAATCATCTTGCATTTACAAGAAGATTTTGAAAACAATGTATTTTTAGAATGACTCATGCTCAATCGATCATCTGTATGGGCCTGCCAGGATGAAGCAGGCTGCAGAAGGCACAGCAGAGACAAAATTTCCCCCAGAGAAGGATGCAGACCAATGTAGTTCACTGCAGCACGCACTGCATCAGTCTTAAACCAGAGCTATAGAAAGGGCTTATGTTAAAAACCTGGAGTGCCTTAACATCAACAGAAGGAAGGATATTTTCATTGTCTGATAAAGGTCATTATTTTTATTTTTAATTTTAGAAAAGGGTTTTGATCAGCACTGACAAGAAACTTAGGATCAGAAATGGCACACAGCTGTCAATAAAACCCATGCTTGGAAAAATGAGAGGTAAAACCATATTCTGTATTTCAGGATTGAGACAAGCAGAACTGAGTGTAGAAGCTCCTTGCTATACTCATTAATTGGCAAAGTCACTCTGTCAGATATCTATCCTGCCTCTTCTACTAGTCTCCTGATAATTTTACCTAAACCAAAAAGCTGAAGAAGAGTCTGTCTTTATAGATGGGTTCCAAAACCCACTAAATCAACACAGTTGTTATGCACAATGGACAGATCTCCTTGCTATCCCAGGTCTTGATCTCAGAGTTTTCCAGCAAAAAGGGAGAAGATCTCCAGACTGAGTTCTGAAAGGAGTGACTGAGTGTCTCACTTAGCAACTCTGAAAAACAGTACCCCAAGGTCAGTCACTAGTCTACAAAAAGCAGTTCCTGCTTTTTTATTACTCACTGTGTATGTCTACCTCTTGTCTTCAACAAATTGCATGTAGAACAGTAGTCTAGCTACTGTTTTGTGGGAAAAATTTTTTTTTACCTTGTTCTACATTCTTTCCATAACAAGAAGAAATTTGTATTTGTACTATCAGTACTCCCATAGGACAGCAGATGTGCAGAGAAAGTGACAATCCACCTCCATATTACAGTATGCTCAGCTTCATCTTCACCTTCTCTCAATATCTTCTCTCAGTATCTTCTCTCAATTACAGCACTGAGATTTTGAATGAAGCTTAAGAAATGTTTCTTGCCAAGTAAACAACAAGAAAAGTTAAGGTATTATTTAGATATTTTGGAGAATTAGAAATGCCATTCTGAATGGGTTTGATTGCCTGCAAGTATTTTTATAACTAGTAACATAACTGGTGTATAACATTTATAACTAGTAACACTTCACATTAGTGCTTTCTTTATCCATGGCCTTTGCAGGTAAGTTGCTGAGGAACATATTTTTTAAAGAATGAGTGTACTTTCCTTGAAGACATGAACTATTCAAAGGATCAATGAGTTTTCCAGAAGAGAACTCAGCTTTGGCAAAATCATCTTGTAAAATAAACCATCCATCATAGTCCTTCTGATCTGACCTCAGATGTGGTATATGTGCTGCACATTAGAACTTCCCTAGAATTTCATAATTCTTTACCTTCTTCAGCCCTTTTCGTTACTTTCAGGCAACAGACACCTTGCAAAT